TTGTGCAGAGATAAGTTGTTGGCGGTCCAAACAATATTATAATATTTTATAGAATATACATGAATAAATATATATATAGACACATGTAAATACATAAATATTCCTACAAATATACACAAAAATATACCATACACATAAATATATGACCAATAATCTGACAATGAAATAGTGATTACAGCCGACCGAATATACCTAGGTCCTTAACGGAGTGACGAAACAGTTATTAAAACAGATACATTCAAATATACACGACGACGTATTTGACGACCTCGGTGGTCTAGCGGTCTAGCACACCGCTTTACGACTGATGGTCGCGGGTTCGATTCCTCGCACGGCACAAACATTTGTATTCATGAGTATGATTGTTTGTATCGGTCTGTGTGTTTTCTAGGTATAATATGTATGTATTTACAAAAAAAAATCTATGTATATGTATCAGTTATCTAGTATCCATAACACAAGCTTTAGATAGCTTAACTTGGGTCTAGATGGCGCTGTGTGAATTGTTTTGAGATTATTATTATTATTATACACATATCCAACTGAGCACCTCCTTTTTTAGTCGGTTAGAATTATAAAGTAAAGTATGACAAATTGGTTATTTCCCTACAACATCGTCGCTTGCATCGTGTTAGCATTCCTGACCTACGGAACAGTATGTTTCCCATAGATTAAAAATTCAATGTATTTATAACCATACATCTGAATTGCTACCTGTTTCTTTCCTGTGAGCGAGACAGATAATATTTCTGTCGTATGTGCGATAGAGATAGTAGGATGTTGAAATTAGTAGACGTTTAGAATGGATTATGTTTAATTTAGATATCTAATTCTGCCGTTACTATCTTTTGAGGGTTCCTGTTTGGAGGGTACTACTGGATAGAAATAATAATGTCCCTGGCCAGTTCACATAAAGTAAGCAGTAAGCAGAGCTTGTATGGACAGGATAATTCACACAACCTCATCAAGTTCCGAAGTAAGCAGAGCTTGTATATGAATATATTTGTTAGCTTGGAGAGAATGCCATATTTTTTTTTAATATACAGAAAATACTCTGACCCATTTATATTTATGAATATGAAATGTTTGTATCCTGCGGGAATTGAACCCGACACCCTCTATACATGTAAATTGGAGTGTCTGTTTGTAATATTGAAATAAACGTTGTTTACTACATGCATATGAATATAAATACGGTACATGTATACACCAAAGTAAATTTTTTTACAATTTTTGTCTGTCTGTCTATTTGTTTGTTCCGGCTAATCTCTGAAATGGCTGGACCTTTTTTGATGGAACTTTTTTTGGCAGGTAGCTGATAAGGAATAACTTAGGCTTCTTTTATTTTAGAAAAATTCTCTAATTAACATTTTTGTTAAATTCCACGCGGACGAAGTCGCGAGTATAGCTAGTTGGAAATAAATATATAATAATTTTAATTTAATTTAATTAACAACCAAGTATTTTTAGTACTATACTAAAACAAAAAAATCCATCACCGGGGTCAGTCAGGAATATAATTGCCATGGTACTATACCATAGACCATGGGAAAGGGGACTGTTACTAATGTGGATTAGTTACCCCATTGCTAGCAATGTCAGTCAAAGGAGGTCAACCTGACATGATAGGTTGACCTCCACGCGGTTCCCACTGAAAACAACATTGGTAAATTTTGCTAGTATGGGCTAACTGACCTGACCTCATGTTCATCTTATCATCCTCCACTGGTGCCCCGCCAGCGTAAACCGTTAACAGATACGGGTCATTCCATTATCATCCCTAAAAAATATATAGCACTGGCCATTGACTCGATACTCCTATTTTTTATATTGCCCAATAATATTGGTTTCTTATATATATTATTGCCAGTCATTATTCCTTTTTAAAACGCCAACAACGCACTTGCAATTCCCCTGGTGTTGCCGATCCTCATAGGCGGAAGTAATCATTTACCATCAGTTGATCTACATGCTCGTTTGTCCCCTGTGCTATAAAAAAAATTAAGTTCAAATATAATAATAATAATAATAATACCAGGGGTATGCCGGGCTTCTGCCGGGGGTATGTTGCCATCTCCTCTCCTAAAGAGGGGAAATGAGAATTTTTGAAAAAAAAAAAAATATCATCTCAGGACAATTCAGACAGAGCCATCTAGACCCAAGTTAAGCTAGCTAGAGCTTGTGTTATGGGTACTAGATAACTGATACATATACATAGATATTTTTTTGTAAATACATACATATTATACATAGAAAACACCCAGACCGATACAAACAATCATACTCATGAATACAAATATTTGTGCCGTGCGAGGAATCGAACCCGCGACCATCGGTCGTAAAGCGGTGTGCTTGACCGCTAGACCACCGAGGTCGTCAAGTATAAAAATATAAAGTCTAGAATACCAAGTCGATGACAAGAAAATAACAATTTCCGACTAAAATAGACACCGACACTTTGGAGAATGCAGTGTCAAGTGTCGATCTCGCCTTAATCATTGTTAGTTGCTGACATTCCGTACATATAGGACGTACTCGCCAGAGGAATTAATTACGAGATCATTGATCAATTAAAAAATATTCCTTGTGTACTTATATAGTTGGCTCTTGTATTGCAGAATCATTACATAGTAAAACAAAGTCGCTGTCGTTGTCTGTCTCTATGTATGCTTAAATCTTTAAAACTACGCAACGGATTTTGAAGCGGTTTTTTTAATAGATAGAGCGATACTAGAGGAAGGTTTATATTATATATATATAATACATGTACACCCGGGCTAAGCCGGTGCGAGTAGCTAGTCATATATGTATTATGAGTACATGTGTACGTATATATATAAATAGCTGACTCAGCAATCGTTGTTTTGTCATATAAATTAAAATCGCTATAAAAAATAGGGGCTGGTGTTCATCATCATCATCATTATCGCAGCCCGGACGACGTCCACTGCTGGACATAGGCCTCCCCCAAAGATCTCCACGACGATCGGTCCTGCGCTGCTCGCATCCAATGCCTTCCAGCGATCTTGACCAGATCGTCGGTCCACCTTGCTGAAGGCCTTCCCACGCTGCGTCTTCCGGTCCGTGGTCGCCACTCGAGGACTTTACTGCCCCAACGGCCATCTGTCCTACGAGCTATGTGCCCTGCCCATTGCCACTTCAGAGTCGCAATTCTTCGGGCTATGTCGGTCACTCTGGTTCTTCTGCGGATCTCCTCATTTCTGATTCGATCACGCAGAGTAACTCCGAGCATAGCCCTCTCCATTGCCCTCTGAGTGACTCTGAGCTTGTTGTTAGCGACCACGTCTCTGTTCCGGGTTGGTGTTAGAAGGGTGAAAATTTAGGGTTGTATGTATTATTAATACCACATTTAAAAAAAAAATTAAAGTTATCTTTATTTCTTCATGGTCACTATCCCACGCGACAGACACAACTAAAAATAACCCAAAGCCCTTCATAAGCCGTTCTTAATTATATTCAATTCTGCAATACAAGACTCGAGTATAAAGTCCGCGAGGTATATTTTTTAATTGATTAATTCCCCTGGCCGCTAGCAGTGCAGTGGCCGAAAGTAACGAATAGTAATTCTTATAAATAAATATATATGTAATAATCTCAGGACAATTCACACACAATGGCATCTAGACCCAAGTTAAGCTAGCTAAAGCTTGTGTTATGGGTACTAGATAACTGATACAAATACATAGATAATTTATTTTTTCGTAAATACATACATATTTACATCTACACATATAAATAAAATTGGAGTGTCTGTTTGTAATATTGAAATAACAGTTTTTACTACATGCATATGAATATAAATACGGTACATACACCAAAATAACATTTTTTTACAATTTTTGTCTGTCTGACTGTTTGTTCCGGCTAATCTCTTAAATGGCTGGACCGATTTTGACGGGACTTTTTTTGGCAAGTAGCTGATATAATAAGGAGTAAATTAGGCTACTTTTATTTTAGAAAAACGAAAGTTAAGTTCCACGCGGTCGAAGTCGCGGGAACAGATAGTTATAACATATATATATATTTATATTATATATATATGTATATACATTATTATATATTTACTAGATGAAAACAAATGATGAAAAAAAATTACCAAGACATCAAAACAACATCATACTATGTTTTGTAGCTATAACATTGTAACAATAGATTGGTTTCTCACAGTACACGTCGCCAATAATTCAATGTGTCACGGCGCCGAACCGGACGTCCTTGGTTCGATTCCTTGTACAGGCAATAGATTAATAATAACATCTCGACAACTGGTATGTCGGTTCGGTAACTTGTAAATGTGGTAATTAATTACAATATTTCATCTCTTGTGAAATGTGAAGTAAACAACGAGATAGCTTTATAAAAACTGTTTTATTATCGATCCACCCACATAATTAGACATATTCAATAATATTCATGCAACATCTTTCCCTTAATAATAATAATATGTAATAATGTAATTATAGTATCAAACACGCATAATAATAAACATAGTATAAATATAAACAATATTTTCAACATGATATCTAACATAGTTAAATTATGCTTCCAAGTGTGATTATCAACACATATATTTTTTACATTTTAACATGATTTAACTAAACAATTAACTAATCATATTTATACACTGTTAACATATTTATGAACTTCATCTTACTAATTACTATGTTATTTTTGTTTATTTTATTTGCTTAACATTTCTGTTTCTTTTTTTTTTTTTTTTTTTAATTTTATAACTATACTATACCACTATACATACTACTATACTTTACATTCATTGTACATTACACAAAATTATAGTTTATATATTATAGCTTACATATTATATTTTTATACCTTTGTTTTTACAATTAACAAGATTAATTTTAATTAATTACCATTTCATAAAATTGTATAATATTATATGTATATTTATTAGTGTTGTTTTGAATATAATAGAGTAGCTATTTCATAGATTAGGTGATTACCTAAGGTTTAGCCCTTTAAATTTTTAGCCCTTTTATTTTTTCTTTAGCAAGTTTTGCAGCTGCCCTTTCCAGCCGTGGAGATGGAGAGGTTTGCACGTTTTTGCCATCAAGATCGTCACAGGAATTATACGCCTCTGAATTTTCGGAAGATTGATTGTCATAAGACCCGTCTTGATTATCGCCGTCCTCACTCGTCATCTGTTGCGATGACGCAGTTGGAGCCGAAACAGTGGGATGCAGCTTAATAAGATGCCTACGATTTCTACGCAGCAATCTACCTGCACTGTCCATCACGAAGTAAGACCGTGGCTGAGATGCACGATCGACGACGCGTGCACGTTCCCTGCGAGTACCGTCCACAGTTACCACCCTGTCGCCGGTCACCAGCTCTGGAAGCTCTCGGGTGTTTATGTCATACCATTCCTTAGAGCGACGTTGGTTTCGGATTAAACTTTTATAATCATGTGAATTGTCTCTCTCTGGCATCAACTTGCTATCATGACACGGAAGTCGCGTATTCAACCTTCTGCCCATAAGGAGCTGGGCGGGACTGGAGACACCATCTCTTGGAGCAGTTCTGTAGTTGAAACAAGTAGAAGTCTTCCTTGGTGGAACTCGACTTTAGTAATAATGTTTTCAGAGTGCGTACTGCACGTTCACTGCGGCCATTGGACTGAGGGTAATTTGGTGATGAGGTTGTGTGCGTAAATCCCCATTTTGTCGCAAACGCTTTAAACTCTTTTGATGCATATGCTGGGCCATTATCGGAAAACAATTCCTGGGGTATGCATGTGATTGATCCCTCATTGCTAATATCACTTGTTTCGAAGTGATATTGGACAGGGGACACAGTTCTACAAAATTGGAGAAGTAGTCTACAAGAACTAGATAGTACTTTTTATTGACTTCAAATATGTCGGAGCCGACTTTAGCCCACGGCAGACTCGGGATGGTGTGCGGCCGCAGGGGCTCGCGCGGGGGCCGCGGCGCGTGCTCCGCGCACACCCGGCGCCGCGCACGCCGCGCTCCACGTCGCGCGACATCCCCGCCCAGAACATCACGTCCCGCGCCCGCCGCTTGCACCTGTCGATACCGAGATGACCTTCGTGAACTCTGTTTATCATCTCTGAACGGAGCGCTTTGGGTACGAAAATTAAATTATTTACTAGGAGCACTCCGTTCACATATTCGAATGCCTCCCTGTAGCTCCAATGAATGCGTGTGCATTCCTTCATATCATATTTATTTCGGGGCCACCCATTCATTATATAATTTATTAAAATTTGACACTCCTGGTCTTTTTCTGTGTGTACTTTAAGCGAATTTAATCTATCACTGCTAAATCTGAGATTTTCCACCAGAAAGCACGTCTGTTCTTCTATTTCTTCGGTTATTTTGTCATGCAGCAAATCCGGTAAAGCCATGGATAAAGTGTCCGCTACGAACATGTATTTACCTGGCTTATACTGCACTTGAAAATCGTATCTTTGAACTAGCATCATACGTTGCAATCTGGCAGGTACCGATTCCAAAGGTTTTTTAAAAAGGGCCTCCAGTGGTTTGTGATCAGTCTCGACGGTGATATCGCTCTTTCCAAAAATGTACTGATGGAATCTTTCTAGGGCGAAGACAATAGCCAGCATCTCTTTTTCTATTTGAGCATACCTTTGCTGCGTGTCAGTGAGCGTCATGGAGGCGAACTCGACGGGCCGGCCGGCCTGCAACAGCACGGCGCCGAGCGCTCGCGCGCTCGCGTCAACAGACAGCACGGCCGGCTCGCGCGGCTCGTATAGCGCCAGAACGGGCGCGCTGCACAGAGCGCGTTTTAATTCATTCACTACTTGATCTTCGCACGGGCCCCAACTCCATTCTATATCCTTTTTTAACAAATTCCGTAAGGAAGTAACCTTTTCAGAATAATTAGAAATAAATTTACTGACATAATTAACCATGCCTAAAAATCTCTCCAATGCCTGACGATCCGATGGATTCGGCATATCCATGATCGCTTTCAATTTTGATGCATCTATTTTCATCCCCTGTGCATTAAAGGTATGTCCCAGGTACGTTACCTCATTGACACAAAATTCACACTTTTCGGAATTAAATTTTATTCCCACTTTCCTTGCTCTTTCAAGAAGACATTCTAGACGACTGTCATGTTCCTCTTTAGTGGCTCCCCACACTATGACGTCATCAATAAATGAATCTACACCGATTAGGTCTTCCAGCAGCTGCCGCACTCTGGCGTGAAATATTTCAGACGCAGAATTTATACCATACGGCAGACGCATATACTGATACCTGCCGAACGGTGTACCGAATGTGCACAAGTCAGCGCTACTGTCATCTAGTTGAATCATCCAGAACCCCGATTTAGCATCCAATTTACTGAAATACCGCGCACCATTTAACTTGGTGGCTATTTCAGTGAGGGTGGGTAAAGGATAATGTTGTCGTTTTATGACACGATTTAGAGGTCGCGGGTCAAGGCACACCCTGATGCTGCCATCTTTTTTTGCTGCTATGACTATACCATTAACCCACGAAGTGGGATGGTATACCTTCCGTATTACACCCAAATTTTCCATGCGATCCAATTCCTCTCTAAGTTGGTCTCTCACTCCTAGTGGTATTTTTCTAACAGGGCAAATGCAAGGGTTCGCATCACTCTCAATTGGAATAGAATACGTACCAGGCAATTTACCTAATCCATGAAACAACTCATAATATTTATTTATGTCTAAAGAATATACTCTTTTAATTAAACCTATTTTTTCTACAGCATGTTTTCCCAAAATACTTTGACACGTTTGGTCCGATATTATAAATTTCAATTTGTGTTCAGTACCTTTATATGTCCAATCAATTGTGCAACAACCCATTATAGATAAGTAACTACCACAAACCGACCTGGCACGCGTATTGTCAGGTAGAATATTTGACAAAGACAAACCTAATTTAGAATAGTTATTTCTTGATAACAAATTTAAGTCGGACCCGGTATCTAGTTTAAAACGATGTCCACTGCCAGTCTGGGATAAATAAAGAGTTTCGTACCATTTGGAATCCTCGCTTTGTACTATTGCGTCGATGCTTTCAACAGACGAAATATAATACAAGTCATTTTCACTGCCACTGTAATCCGGAGGATTATCACTGAGTTCATACACTTTTTTATACCTACGCGTCGGACACATAACTTTGTAATGACCCTTGCCACCACATATGAAGCACTTCACTTTACGCGCCACACAACGATCACTTCCGTCACAGTGAGTAGAGCCGCAAGCGTCGCAGGACCTCGCGGCCGGCGCTGTCCACGCAGCCGGCCCGCCGCTCGCTCCGGCGGCGGCTCGGCCGCGGCCGTCGCCCGCCGCGGCGCGCCAGCGGCGGGGCGAGTGCCTGCGACTCGCGTCCCTCGTTCCGCGACGCATATCCGGTCGTCCTCTTCGAGTGCTGCTCACTGATGAACATTTTAGGGTTTCATATTTTATCCCCTCGATCTGTTTCTCGCCGTCGTTAGACATTTCATTGGCTTGACAAATTTTTATTGCTTTTTCTAGTGTTAAGTCATCTGTGCGTAGCAACCGATCTCGTACTGGAATATCTATGATACCGCACACGATTCGATCCCGCAGTAAGCTATCCTCTAGTTGTTCAAACTCGCAGCGCTGGCTTAGTAGTTTGAGTGCAGTGACGTAATCGTCGATACTCTCACCGACTTCTTGACATCTTGTGAAGAATTTAAACCGCACCATAGTCGTATTCGTTTTTGTCCCAAAATGATTATCAAATTTTTCGATTACTTTTTCTATATTTTCTTTCTCATCCTCGGAATTAAACTTGAATGTAGTGTAAATATCATATCCCTCTGATCCCACTAAATTAATTAACAAACTAGCTTGTACATCACTGGCCTCTTTATGAACTCCTGATGCTTTCAAGAAAACTCGAAACTGACGTAACCACTTACGCCACGTATCGGCCCGATTAGATGGACCTCCTTCCAAACACAATTCCGCCGGCGGTCGCGCGTGTTCCATTTTATAACTTGTTTTATAACTAATTGTGGACCTATTTAATTTAATTTCCACCACAATTACCGTACAATTACAATTTAAATCTATTTATTACACGCACCGCTGTCACCATGAAGTAAACAACGAGATAGCTATATAAAAACTGTTTTATTATCGATCCACCCACATAATTAGACATATTCAATAATATTCATGCAACAAAATGTTTGCATAGTATTGTTTAGAACGTAGAGAATAGGTTTTTTTTGTAATTCTGACTATACTAATGGTACCTATATTTATTTATGTATTTAACTTCAATGCACAAAACCAATATGTACATATGGCGGACTTAACACCCTGCAGCGTTATCTACCAGGCAACCATGAGTGGTGCAGAGAAAGATTGTTGGCGTTGCACTTATATAAATGAGAAATATCAAAAAGAAAAAACATATAAAGCAAAATATTTATATATATAAATATGCATAGATAAATATATATAAATAAATACATAATGATCTGATAATCAAATTATAAGTACAGCCTCAAATTGAAAGTAAGAAAAAGAAAGAAAATATAGAGAAACCAAAAGGAAATAACAGAAAGATGTGAAAAGAGGAGAAGGACAGTAAAAACAAGTTACAAATTTAAATAGTGTTTAAACGAAATTTTACTCGTGGCGCTGTGTGAATTGTCCTGAGATTATTATTATTATTATTATTACTATCATCATCATCACTACAGTATAAAACAAAGTCGCTGTTGCTGTCCTTTTTTATGATAGATAGGATGATAATGGAATGGTGCACCCGCCTGCGCTAACGGTCTAAGCTGGCGCACCGTGGAAGATGATAAGATGAGCATGAGGTCAGGTCAGTTAGCCCATCGTGACAAGCTCACCAGGAATTTGTCACGATGGTTTCCAGGGGGAACCGCGTGGAGGTCAACCTGTCATGGTACGTTGCTAGCAGTGGGGTTGTTCACATTACTAACAATGCCCTTTCCCCCCTGTCGCTGTCTGTCCGTCACTATGTATGCTTAAATCGTAGTTACCCAAATTCCGCCAAGTTGACTTTGATCTGATATATTTAATGCGACAGATCTCTACATATCCATTTATAATAATAATAAAGCCATTTATTCTGAAATTTACATATATATTTTAACTATAAAACTAACTTTTTAACTATATCACTATAAAAAAAAAGAATTTGTATACAAATTCTTTTTTTTTTTTTAATAATATGTCTCTAATTTCAGTGTGCCTTTTGGCATAGGCCTCCTCCAGTGACTTCCATTGACTTCTATCCTGTGCAACTCTTCTCCATTTTGTGCCCACAGTTGACTTCAACTCATCTTCCCATTTCATCATCTGCCTTCCCCTCTTTCTCTTTCCTTCTCTAGGATACTACTGTTATTTTTCTACTCCATTTTTCCCTAGTGTCTCGCATCATGTGGCCAGTCCATCGCCACTTCTGCTGGTCTATTTTTGACAATATATCTGTTACTTTCGTCCTCCTAAGATCACTGTTCCTTATCTCTCCATTTAATCTTTATAATTCCGATAGGTAACAATAACCTAAAACGGGAATGAACGGTCACAATTTTACGATGGGTCGTTGACCAATAACTATGCCACTATGTGTTATTCTTCGCGTCATGACGAGACATACATACATACATACATACAATTATTAATTTTTATGGTTTATCCGGTCGACTTGGACTTAATTAGGCGCCTTTTTTGTATGAATTTATCAACCACAATAGCACTCCGTTTCACTCCACTCCATTCATTACGATCAGAGAACATAGAATGAAAACTTTATTATCGTAACAAATATACTAAACTTGAAGTTTGTATTATTCATTGCGATAGTTTGTTTCATAAATTTTATATTGAAGAAACTCGAATGGCTCACTTTATGTAAGTACTAGCTGTGCCCGCGAATAGTGACCTGGGTCAAAAAATATTTCATAATCTAACCCAAAAAGCTAAAGAAAAAAGTTTCACCGTTCCAACTACAAAAATGACGAATTTTCATCCCGTCTTTTACTTAAGAGTAGATTTTTTACAATCTCTGAATGTCATATTCACTTATATTTAATCAACAGGTCAAAAAATAATTTTCAAGCTTCTAAAAATGACGGTATCCGTACAATCTTTCATCTCCTCTTTCAACCCCCTACAACCCTTTTTTACTTCAAGAAGTAGCCTATGTCCTTTCTCAAGATCTAGACTATTTATGCACTAAATTTCATTTATATCAGTTCTGTAGTTTCGGCGTGAAAGCGAGACAGACAGATAGAGTTACTTTCGCATTTATAATATTAGTAAATATTTCACGTCCATCATAAAGTTGCACAAAACTCAGCCTGTGTGGTTTCTACGTTTATACACGCACACACATTTCCTAGTGAAATTAAAACTGAAATAGACTGTAAAATAAATAACAATTAAAATTGGGACAGCGTCACTTCCACTCAAATACATTTTTGTATTCAACTGTGTACATATAACCTATTTCTTTGATCCCAGGAATATTAAAGATATACATACTCACGGTTTAACCTTTCCAAACAGATCTTATAAAACACTAGCTCTCGCCCGTGGCTTCGCTCGCATTAATTTATCCCCTTAGGGGTGGAATTTATCAAAATCCTTTCTTAGGGGATGCCTATGTTATAGTAGCTTTATGCATGCAAAGTCTCAGTCCGATCGGTTTAAAATTGACAAAGTTTCATACAAACTTTCATCCCCTATTTTATCCCCTTGGGGGTAGAATTAATCAAAATCCTTTCTTAGCGGATGCCTACGTCATAACATCTACCTGCATGCCAAATTTCAGCCCGATCCGTCCAGTGGTTTGGGCTGTGCGTTGATAGATCCCTAAGCCAGTCAGTCACCTTTGAGTTATATATATTTAGATACATTGTACGAAGTTTAATACTGAGTTATCTCTTTAGAAACATTAGTTGTTGTTTTGTATGAAACACTGCAAATACTTTCTTGGAATAAATTTTCAGCTTTGCATTTGCTAACAAAAATTTAAGCCATTCTTCATTCTCATAAGGTCAACTGAATCTGAAAATATAACTTTACGTGTTAAATATTTAAAATCATTGCAGACCATTAGAGCAATCGATTAGCGACAGAAAATGTATAACAGCAATAATAAAGCAGCACAAAACTGTACACGTGCAGTTCCTGCGCCTGCATTTACTGGCGAAAAAAAAAAAGTGACAGGACATAATGTACGTGAAATTAATGCAGATTCTAATGACAATCATTCAGTGACAGTAAACCGTTTAAGGTTTAAGAGAAATAATAAAACTGTGGCAGCGGCCGGAATGTAGATATATTTCACTTTTGTTATTGTGGTGTCATGCTGTTATTTGTACAGTTGTGGTACAGCTTGTTAACTGCGTTTAATCATTGGTCGTATTTATAATATCTACATCTATACATGTAAATAAAATTGGAGTGTCTGTTTGTAATATTGATATAACCGTCTTTTACTACATGCATATGAATATAAATATTGTACATACACCAAAATAACATTTTTTACAATTTTTGTCTGTCTGTTTGTTCCGGCTAATCTCTTAAATGGCAGCACCGATTTTGACGGGACTGTTTTTGTCAGGTAGCGGATGTAATAAGGTAACTTAGGCTACTTTTATTTCAGAAGGTCTCTTTATTTTAGAAAAATAAAGTTAAATTCTACGCGGACGAAGTCGCGGGAACAGCTAGTATTTATTTATAATTTATGTATAGATATTTCCGATTTTAATCAGATCAATAATAAGGAAATGGACAACATATCTTTTCTAAGTGTGAACGTTAGGTGAAAATACTTATTTTCCTGGAAATAACCTATTAGCCATTAAAATGAATATATTTAAAATAATGTAGGATGTAATAATTAATATACAGAGTAATAATGATGTAAAATTATCTTATTAAAAAAAAAAAAACATTATAAAGCGCGTAACTTACCACAAAAAGAAATGACAATAACAAATAGTCAAATTAAGATCCATTTATGCTTGTAGGATATTTTTTATTTATTTATAGACTAATTTAAAAATCAATATCTAATAATGATTATGATATAATCTGTGCTAGTTTCCTATTCCTGTATGTATTTTATTCCTTTGCCTTAAGTTTTTTTCTGTACAAACAAAATCGGATAACGGTATTTACTAATTACTAACATATTTTCATATCAAATTTCCAAATATAAGTAGCTATTTTGACTTACTAAAGAAAATTGGAAGTAAGTAAGGTTAAAAAAGTACTTTAAAAATAGACCCTTATCATACATTACCATAGTCAACTCAATAATGACACCACTACAGATAATTAACCGTTTACTGGTCTATGCTCTCTAGCTTAAATGAAAAATATTACTCTAAACGTTTGTTGAAGCATTCTTAGTTAAAAAAAAAAAAACTTACCACAAGTGTCAAGAGTCGAGCGGTGAATGGGTGATGTTAATTTTGTCCCGTGAAAAAGTAAAAAAGCTTGGAAATAGCCGGCAGTCGGCGCCGCATTCTGTGGCGGGAATTTCCGAACCACCTGCCGCCGTCGCCATTTTGAAATTATTGTTTTAAAACTCAAGAATTGTAGGGAAACGAAATTAAATATATTTTGTTTGGTAAATGATTGTGTAATTAATAAATACTTACATATCGTTATTTGTTTTAAATGTATTATAATAAAATTTGATTTTGTTATCATTTTACGTTTTGTCATTTACAGCACAAAACTCATATTTACAATTTCAACAAAATTAGTGTTGCCATATAAATATTTTTTGTAATTACACCAATACTGGCTGTAATAAATTTCATTATATAAATTTCAATAGAAAGTATAGCCTATGTGTTATTCTGATGCATAAGGTATGTTATTGTAAAGTGGCATCAAAATCCGTTGAGTAGTTTTTTCGTGAAACATCTATACTCACAAACTTTCGGGTTTATAATATCACAAATATTATTATCAGCGACTAACAT